CCGGCATGTATGCTCCTATTGGACAGAAGCCCTAGGCTGTGGCCAATACTCACTCTTCTTCTTCAATGGGTCCCCGCTAGCTGAAGCAGCGGCGCTCTCATTGGCTAGTTGTTCATAAACTGACGAGGCGGGACCGCTCTCGAGGAAGCCTCCTACAATTGGCAGCAATCTACGTCCGTCACCTTGTGCCCGCCCCAGAAAAATAAAAGGGTTTTTTTTTTTTTTTTTTTTTTTTCCCCAGCGCGTTTTATTTGAACTTTCGGGCGGGAGAAAGTTATATGATTTATCGATCCATTTTGGAATGGAGATGAAAATATTAAAACTGTGACTCCTGCTGCTTGTCCCTAACGCTTTCGTGAAGGAGTTATCTGTATCCAAAGGATAGTAGTTAATCAAATAATTTCTAAATATTTCAATATTTTGAATTTCGGAGCCTGTAAAAAGGGGTAGGACAGTCCAGTTCATATGTATCCTCTCATGGGGTTGAAGAGCTCACTCAAAAGACTTTGCCTACACAGTCTCTTCAATCTCAAACAGCTGTAATGGATCTGAACTACTAAACAGTCTCAAGTCACTCCGCAGGGCCGCCGCTCGCCGCCAGCGCCAATAGCAACGGGCCCCCGGAATTCTCCAGCTACGAGGAGCGCGAGCCCACATGCGTCTCGGCTCCGGGCCCGCCGCCGACAGGAAAGCCACAAAGAAAACTGATAAACCCAGACAAATGATAAAGACAATCTAGGTGTAACAGAACTCATTAATAAAGATCTTTTGGATCAGCTTGTGAAATACGGAGTGAATCCTGGTCCTATTGTGGGAACAACCAGGAAGCTATGTGAGAAAAACCTTTTGAAAGCGAGGGAGCAGGCCGGGCGCGGTGGCTCAAGCCTGTAATCCCAGCACTTTGGGAGGCCGAGGCGGGCGGATCACGAGGTCAGGAGATCGAGACCATCCTGGCTAACACGGTGAAACCCCGTCTCTACTAAAAAAAATACAAAAAACTAGCCGGGCGAGGTGGCGGGCGCCTGTAGTCCCAGCTACTCGGGAGGCTGAGGCAGGAGAATGACGGGAACCCGGGAGGCGGAGCTTGCAGTGAGCTGAGATCCGGCCACTGCACTCCAGCCTGGGCGACAGAGCGAGACTCCGTCTCAAAAAAAAAAAAAAAAAAAAAAAAAAAAAAGAAAGCGAGGGAGCAAATAACAGAATCAAGATCTTCTCCTCTGCCAACAATTTCTTCTTCAGCAGAAAATACAAGGCAGAATGGAAGTAATGATTCTGACAGATATAGTGACAATGAAGAAGACCCTAAAATAGAGCTCAAGCTTGAGAAGAGAGAACCGCTGAAGGGCAGAGCAAAGACTCCAGTAACCCTCAAACAATGAAGTGTTGAGCACAAGAGCTATTCTCAAGCTGGAATAACTGGGACTGAATGAACAAGTGGATCTCCAAAAGGCAGACCTCTGCAGGCATTATAAACTAGGGAATCTACAAGAGAGTCAAGAAAAACTCCAAGGAAAAGAGTGCACACTTCAGAACATTTTCGTATAGATGGTGCAGTCATTTCAGCGAGTACTCCCATAGCTGAAACTATAATGGCTTCAAACAATGAATCCTTAGTTGTCAATAGGGTGAATGGAAATTTCAAGCATGCATTTCCTATTCTGTCAGTCACTGAATTCTCAGACATACCCAGAAGAACACCAAATAAACCATTGACAAGAGATGAAGTGGGAGAAAAAACACAGGAAAGAAGAGTAGAAAGGGATATTCCTAAGGAAACATTCCCCTGTGAAGCAGCTACACCAACAAGAATTAGTGCTGGTTGCCACAGACCAATCAAAGGAGCTCCAGGCCGGCCATTAGAACTCAGTGATTTGAGGATGGAGGAGTCATTTTCATCTAAATATGTTTGTAAGTATGTTCCCTCAACAGATGTCAAGTGAGAAAATATGAAAAAAGGGACACTCTATTCCTGTATGGATAAAAATTCTGCTGTTTGTTGTTGTGGCAGTTTTTTTTGTGTTTGTTCTATCAAGCTATGGAAACCAACCACATAAATCCCTTCTCTAATTTTCTTCCTGATGGCTCTAGAAAACCCAACTGAGTGGTATCTCTTTGGCACATTCAACTTGGTCTTGTATTTTTAATAACTGTGTTGAAGAACATTTGTGTATGCTTGTTGACTCCAAGAACTAAAAATAATGTGATTTTGCCTCAATAAACATAGTATTCCATTGGAAAGCAAACAAAATATATATAAATGGACTTCATTAAAATGTTTTTGAACTTTGGACTAGTAGGAGATCACTTTGTGCCATATGAATAATCTTTTAACTCTGGAACTTTTTTTTTTAGATAGGGTGTCACTCTTGTCACCCAGGCTGGAGTGCAATGGCACGATCTCAGCTCACTGCAACCTCCACCTCCCAGGATCAAGTGATTCTCCTGCCTCAGCCTACTGAGTAGCTGGGACTACAGGCGTGTGCCACCATGGCCAGGTAATTTTTGTATTTTTAGTAGAGATGGGGTTTCACTATGTTGGCCAGGCTGGTTGAACTCCTGACCTCAGGTGATCCACCTGCCTCAGCCCCCCTAAGTGCTGGGATTACAGGCATGAGCCACTGCGCCCGGCCATAATGTTCATTATCTTGATGGGGTTTGGATTACTCATATGTATGCATTTGGCAAAACTCATCTAAATGCTATCTTTAAGATTTGTGCATTTCACACAAATTTTTCACAGCAAAAACTTACCTTTCCACACCCCCCCGCCAAAAAAAGCCCATACAGAGGTAAACTTCAGCTAATGGCATAAATGCTGAAGTGTTTAGGAATGAAGTGCATACAAAATTAGGATGGATTAATGGATAGAAAGAGGCACAAGTAGATAAACAGGTATGTGATAAAACAAATATAATAAATTGTTAGTTGTAGAGTTTAGGTGGTAGGTGTATGGTTATTCAGAGTACAATTGTACTAACTTTTCTGTGTATCTGCAAATTTTCATACATAAGTGTTGGGAAAAATCAGGTACAGGGCCTTGGAAGGCATCCTGTGCAAATAAAAGGCCCTGAAAATTCAGCTTTCTCAGTTTTACAGTAAATTCACCTATAATAATTGTGGATCTGCCAGAGTATGAATAATTCATCTACCAAGGAGAATTTTCACTGTAACTTCTACAGTAAATAGAACAAATGATTTTAAAGATGAAAACATGGCTAGGCATGGTGGCTCATGCCTGTAATCCCAGCACTTTGGGAGGACTAAGTGGGAGGATCCCTTGAGGTCAGGAGTTCCAGACCAGCCTGGGCAACACAGCAAGACTCTGCCTCAAAAAAAAAAAAAAAAAAAAAAAAAAGAGAGAGAGAGAAAAAAGAAAGTGAAAGAAAATAGTAATACCTACCAATAAGTTCTACAAAAGAATCATATTAAGTTTATATTCTTCTGCATTTTTTATTTACAGAAAAAAGACATGTTCTAGGTTTAAAAAAAATCAAGGATAAGTAAAAGATAAAAAAAAATAAGGCCAAGTGTGGTGGGTCATGCCTGTAATCCCAGCACTTTGGGAGGCCAAGATGGGAGGATCACTTGAGCCCAGAAGTTCAAGACTAGCCTAGTCAACACAGTGAAACCCTGTCTCCTAATAATAATAATAAAAATTAGCCATGATTTTATTCATCAGAGATGATTACTAGAATACAAGATCCAAATGTATTTTTATTGCTGTCTTCTCAGTGATTGAAACAATGGCTAGCACATTTGCTGTTGAATGATTTAGAATGAGTTCTGAAAAAAATGTAACTTTAGAGGCATTTAGTGTATCCTAGGCAAAGCACACACCATGAACAAAAGTATAAGAAATCTAGAATGAGACCAGGCATGATGGCTCATGTCTGTAATCCTAGCACTTTGGGAGGCTGAGGCAGGCAGATAACTTGAGGTCAGGAGCTCGAGACCAGCCTGACCAACATGGTGAAACCCCGTCTCCACTAAAAATACAAAAATTAACCAGGTGTGGTGGTGCACACCTGTAATCCCAGACACTTGGGAGGCTGAGGCAGGAGAATCACTTAAACCTGGGAAGCAGAGGTTGCAGTGAGCCAAGATCGCACCATTGCATTCCAGTCTGGGCAACAAGAGTGAAACTCTGTCTCAAAAAAAAAAAAAATCTAGAATGAAAGCACCACAAACATAGGTTTCAGTCTGGCAGGGATTAAAATCTGGCAGCTCCTATATGGACGTATTTTGTTTGTCCTATCAGCATTAAAATAATTTTTTTTTTTTTTTTTTTTTTTTTTTGAGACAGGATCTCACTCTGTCGCTCAGGCTGGAGTGCAGTGGTGCAATCATGCCTCAGTGCAACCTCCACCTCACAGGTTTAAATTATTCTCATGCCTTAGCCTCCTGAGTAACTGGGATTACAGGCATGTGCCACCACACCCAGCTAATTTTTGTATTTTTAGTAGAAACAGGGCTTCACCATGTTGGCAAGGCTGGTCTTGAACTCCTGACCTCAGGTGATCCTCCTGCTTTGGCCTCCCAAAGTGCTGGGATTTCAGGCATGAGCCATCGTGCCCAGCCTAAAATAATGTTTAATGAGATACTAACCTTTAAAAATAAGGACATCACAGAAAAATCCAACTTTCTAGCTCTTTTGACAAAATGGAAAGCTCTGGAAATGTTGGAATCCCATTCTATGTGACAAAGTTTAGATTGGAGTTGAGCAGATGCTGTTCTTGCTCATCTGTTCACTAAAGCCCCCTCCAGGCACAAAGCATTCATTTAGGTTCCTTCCTAGGCCCTAAAAGTATTAGACTTTGCAATCTCTGGTAGGAGAACTCTGGGATCTGATTGGAAAGTCAGGTTGGAAAGTATGGTATGGGAGATATCCATAAGGCTATGGATATATGAATAGGAAGTTTGTACTTGATTCCTTGGGCAAGAGGAAGAATTGAACACTGTTTGCTCAGTTACTTCTGTTGTGTAACAAACCACCCCAAAACTTAGGGTTAAGACAACAGTAATTTATTTAGCTCCTGATTGTGTGAATGGGCAATTTGGACTGGGCTCTGCTTGAGTGGTTCTTCTGGTCTTGATTGTCCTCATTCATGTGTTAGCTGCCATGTTGCTTGGTTTAGTATGACTTCAGCTAGGAAAGCATGTTTCTGCTTCATGTGGTCTCTCATTCCCAGCATGCTCACTCAACATGTTCATGGCTGGGTAAGGTTGCAACAGACATTTAAAAGGCCTCTTGAAACCTAGGCTTGGAACTGGCACACAGTCACTTCTTCCACATTCTATTGATCAAATCAAGTCCCAATGCCAGCCCAGATTGAAATGGTGGGGAAAGAGACTTCATTTGTGGATGGGAGGAGCTACAAATTACATTGCCAAGAGGTGTGGACACCCAGAAAGATACATTTGACAAACCATCTATCAAAGTTACTGTCAGAGATATGTTTTTGGAAATATCATTTGGAGTGGGATGTATCCTGTATGACTGGAATTATTTTCTATTTGTAACAGATAAATGCTCCCACTCCTTGCACCCATAAATAACTCAATACCAAAGGATATGAGAGAGAGAGATGTCCAATTTGTGCCTCTGCCAGCTTCTTGTCCAGGGAATCCTTGGTTTAGATTTCGATACACTACTTAGTAAAGGTGGAGAGTTTCTTTAAGATTTCTGTGGATGAATGAACAGAAAATTAGACCAGAGCAGGGAGCTGAGAGCCAAGTTAGAAACACAAAGACATTTCTACATTACACAGTTGCTTAGAAACTGCATTCCCCCTGGTCTGGCTGGCGCCTAAACCACCATCAGCACTCAGGCCTTTATGATATAAAGTTATCTTACTTGATCAACTTTTAAAACACAAACACCTCATAGGAAGGGGTAAACTCACATCTTAGTGTGAATTAGTCTCTGGTGTTAGATTCCTTAATACTAGGAGGACTCTAGGTTGTAAGGGAGCTTGGTAGAAGAAGAAAGAAGACAGAGGAGAGAGTGAAGTGGAGGACGGCATTGTATAAATCACTGTTGGCTTCTCATCCACCCTAAAGACCAATTTTTCAGGAAGCATCATTAAATCTGCACTTCTGCTCTGTGGTGATGAAGAGAAAATTTCCGACAGAAACTATGATGTGACTTTGATTTTTCATTCTGAAAGGTAGGGATGTGGATGAAGGGAGAGGAGAGATGACAGATGAGACCCTCTTGGGTAGTGTGAGAGGTTTTCCCGACAGACCATCTGTGAGAAGGCCTTGAAGAATAGTCCTCATGCTAGAGACTTCTATAAGTAGAGAGAACATTCTTGGAAGCTGCCTCAAAAGTCTGGACTCATGGCTCCTTCCTTCCTTCCTCCCTCCCTCTCTCCCTTCCTTCCTTCCTTCCTTCTTCCGCGTCTTCCTCTGTTGCCCAGGCTGGAGTGCAGTGGCGCGATCTCAGCTCACTGCAACCTCTGCCTCTGGGGTTCAAGCAATTCTCCTGCCTCAGTTTCCTGAGTAACTGGGATTACAGGCATGTGCCATTATGCCCAGTTAATTTTTGCATTTTTTGTAGAGATGGGGTTTCATTATGTTGGCCAGGCTGGTGTTGAACTCCTGACTTCAAGTGATCTGCCCGCCTTGGTCTCCCAAAGTGCTGAGATTACAGGCATGAGAGAGCGCCCGGCCCCTTCTCTTTTTTGTCTGGGCTTTGTGGAAAGTCTGCGAGATTTAGGTCTAGGATAGGAGAGAGAGATGCTTCCAGGGAGGGAGACACTGTAAGGAAGCTATGGAGAAGCAGCTGATGATGTGGTGAGATAAAAGTCTGCGTCAAGGAAATAATCCCAAGGATGCTGAAAAAAGGAAGGAAGGCAGACAAGGAGGAATGAAAAGAGAAGAAAGATAGGCAAAAATAAAGCAAGAGAGAAGAAAAAGAAGAGAGATAGAAAGACAAAAAGACAACAAGATAATGCCTGCTGTGGTGGCGCCTGTTGTCCCAGCTACTCTAGAGACTGAGGTAGGAGGATCACTTGAGCCCAGGAGTTCGAGGATGTATAGTTCCATGATCCTGCCTGTGAATAACCACCATACTCTGGCCTGGGCAACGTAATGAGACCTCCTGTCAAAAAAAAAAAAAAAAAGAAAAAGAAAAGAGATAAATAGACAGATACAGACAAAAAGAAAGGAAGGAAATAGGCAGGAGGAAAGTAATCTGCCCTTCCAAACCACTTTGGATAAAACAGTGCCCTTTGGAAGCCCTTACACTATTGACATTTGGGCCAGATAGTTCTTTGCTGTGGTGGGCTGTCCTATGCATTGTAGGATGCTGAATAGCATTTTTTTTTTTTTTTTTTTTTTTTTTTTTTTTTTTTTTTTTTTGAGACGGAGTCTCGCTCTGCCGCCCATGCTGGAGTGCAGTGGCCGGATCTCGGCTCACTGCTCCACCTCCCGGGTTCACGCCATTCTCCTGCCTCAGCCTCCCGAGTAGCTGGGACTACAGGCGCCCGCCACCTCGCCCGGCTAGTTTTTTGTATTTTTTAGTAGAGACGGGGTTTCACCGTGTTAGCCAGGATGGTCTCGATCTCCTGACCTCATGATCCGCCCGTCTCGGCCTCCCAAAGTGCTGGGATTACAGGCTTGAGCCACCGCGCCCGGCCCTTTTTTTTTTTTTGAGACGGAGTCTCGCCCTGTTGCCTAGGCTGGAGTGCCATGGCGCGATCTCAGCTCACGGAAACCTCTGCCTCCCAGGTTCAAGTGATTCTCCCGCCTCAGTCTCCTGAGTAGCTAGGACTACAGGCATGCGCCAACACACCTGGCTAATTTTTGTATTTTTAGTAGAGACGAGGTTTCATCATGCTGGTCAGGGTGGTCTCGAACTCCTGACCTCAGGTGATCCACCCACCTTGGCCTCCTAAAGTGTTGGGATTACAGGCGTGAGCCACCGTGCCCAGCCAACATTTTTTTTTGAGACGGAGTCTTGCTCTGTATCCCAGACTGGAGTGCAGTGGTACAGTGGCACGATCTCGGCTCACTGCAACCTCCACCTCCCAGGTTCAAGAGATTCTCGTGCCTCAGCCTCCTGAGTAGCTGAGATTACAGGCATGTACCACCATGGCCGGCTAATTTTAGTAGAGATGAGGTTTCACCATGTTGGCCAGGCTGGTCTCAAACTCCTGACCTCAGATGATCCGCCCACCTCAACCTCCCAAAGTGCTGGGATTACAGGCATAATCCCTGCGCTCAAATCCCTCCTGAGTAGCTGGGATTACAGGCATAATCCCTGCGATCAACTGTGCTCAGCCATCATCCTTGGCCTTTATTCACTAGATGACAGTAGCACACCCCATCCTAACACTCTGGCCTTATAACAAACAAAAATGCTTTCAGACATTGCTAAATGTTCCCTGGATAAAATCACCCCTCATGGTAAACTACTGCTTTGGAGCTGGTGAAAAGGAAATCTTTCACAAATGTGAAATAAGCATGGGGCTCACGCTCTTTACATCAGAAAGAACCCTACCATCCACAGAGGGCCGCACAGAGGGATCATGGGCCCGGCACTCATCAATGATCTCCCGCAGCTCTGAAGGGCAGTCTTCACCCAGCGGCTCCTGCTGCCGCTTCACAGCCACCAGCTCATAGATCTTCTCAGAATTACAGCCTGGAAATGATAGCATGAGAGCCTCAAAAAACTACTCCGGTACTCGTACATCTCTCTGGATGCTGATGGCTGGCATCAGAACTAGGGACTCTGAGTATAGAAACAAGAGCTTCCAATGATTCCACGGACCAGCCCAGGCAGTTCCAACATTAAACAACAAATTGCCAGGGGCAGCACTGATGGGGAGTTTCTGGTCTATTGGCAGGGGACCCAACCCCAGCACTAGCCTTCACGTTCTTCACCTTCAAACGGGATCCTTCCAGTGGCGATTTCCCAGAGGACGATTCCAAAGCTAAAAGAAAACCAAGAAACAGAACAACCATAACCAGTCTGCCCTTTCCCCTGTCCCTCTAGCCACTGCCAGAAAACTCAGTGAATTTTTTGATTACTACTCAATTTCATTCAACAGAGTTGAGTTTAGGTGGTCCTTGGAGGAGTTTGATTTGGGTTTTCCTATCATGCACATCTGAGTTAGAATCTGTACCAGAACATGAATGTACCTGTATATTTCAGACTTTACATCATATCGATGATATATATTTTCCAGTTTCTGAGGTGAGATATATGCTGTAGATTTGACTCTGTCTGTCTTTTCTCTCTTAGTTTTCAAACTGATGGAAGTCTGTGTTTTCCTCAACTCAAATCCTGCAAGCTAGACAGAGAGGCAACTTAGAGACAGAAAGAAACAAGCAAGATCTTGGGTAGAGGAGTAAAGGGCAGGGATTGTTGCTACACACAATTGCCAGGGAATTGTCTTTTATCTTAGGGATTTATTTCCTGTAGTGACTTCTGTCTGTGTGGCTACTCTATTGGTTAACATTATGGGTTCAACTTAACATAGTGCAGTGACCAAAAGAAACACAAAGAGATTTCTTCTCTATAAAATGGGGTGATGACAGGGGGGATTACTTGAGATAATGGTTATAAAGCACCAGTAAGACCTGCTAAGTTGTAGTTGTTCCTAGTATGACTATGTTAAAATATAGGGGTTTCTCAGTTGAGGACTGAACTTCACTCAGTGAGAGTGGAGAGGGGTCATAGAGCCACTGCCTGGCTCACCTTTTCCCAGAGAAGCAGATGGAAAAATGGCATGGAGGCATTTCCTCTGTACTATCTGACCCTATGGGGGGTCAGCCTGATCCTTCGGCTTTGGTGTGATCAGTGTGAGTCACCCCCCAGCCCTGCGTAGTCACGTGGTGTTCTTAAAGAAACCATAGCACAATCAGTGAGAGCGTATGTTCTTGTCCCATGCACACCTGCCATTGACACCATTGGTGTGCAGAAGGCTGCCAGCCCCAAACTCAGCCAGGTACCATGTGGGCGATGTGAGAAAAGGGATAAGGCGCTTAATGGCTCATCCACCTTTCATTCATTCATTCATTCATTCATTCACTTGCTCACACATTTCCTGGGCACTGACATTCTCTGACATCTAGCGCCATATGGGATACCAGGGGTGAAAGGCGGAATAGCGCATCTTATAGTCAGGCTGGATGAAGAGCGTGAGAGTAGTGGACACAGTGTTTTGGGAGTACTTATGTGACCATTGCAGAGGGGGAAAGACATTTGAAAGGCAAAAAAGGCCTGTCTGCTGTTAATTGAGGGCTGTCTCTGACACTCATAAGACTGGAAGAAAGAAAACCAGCCATGGATGACAAAGAAAACTGCTAAAATTCTTTTAGCATTTGGGAATTACGGACATCGAGTTCACAAAATACTTTCCTCTTCTGTATGAAAATCTGACTTTCAGTGAACTTCTTAGCTATGTTCCCCTAAAAATCTGATAAAGGTAGACTGTCACCTATGGCCCTTAGTAATGTTGCTGATGATAAAAATAAAAATGACTGCTGATTGTTAGATAGCTTCTGGGCAGGATCAAGGGGGTAAGTGGACTACACAGTAAATAGCTGATAGGAATGCTTTGTAGCAATTTTTTCTTTTTTGCTTTTTTTTTTTTTTTTTTGAGACGGAGTCTCGCTCTGTCGCCCAGGCTGGAGTGCAGTGGCCGGATCTCAGTTCACTGCAAGCTCCGCCTCCCGGGTTTACGCCATTCTCCTGCCTCAGCCTTCCCGAGTAGCTGGGACTACAAGCGCCCGCCACCGCGCCCGGCTAGTTTTTTGTATTTTTTTTTTAGTAGAGACGGAGTTTCACCGTGTTAGCCAGGATGGTCTCGATCTCCTGACCTCGTGATCCGCCCGTCTCGGCCTCCCAAAGTGCTGGGATTACAGGCTTGAGCCACCGCGCCCGGCCTTGGCAGCTTTTAAAACAGCAACTGACAGGCCGGGCGCGGTGGCTCAAGCCTGTAATCCCAGCACTTTGGGAAGCTGAGACGGGCGGATCACAAGGTCAGGAGATCGAGACCATCCTGGCTAACGCAGTGAAACCCCCGTCTCTACTAAAAAATACAAAAAAACTAGCTGGGCGAGGTCGCGGGCGCCTGTAGTCCCAGCTACTCGGGAGGCTGAGGCAGGAGAATGGTGTGAACCCGGGAGGCAGAGCTTGCAATGAGCTGAGATCCGGTCACTGCACTCCAGCCTGGGCGACAGAGCGAGACTCCGTCTCAAAAAAAAAAACAAAGAAAACCCAGCAACTGACATGTCCCTTGCAGAAACACTGGAAGGCCTGCCTGCAGAGTTGTTGTCAGAGATGCTGACTCCTGCAGGTCATGGGCTTCTAAGCCTGGATGACCCACACCCACCTAATGGGAGCCTCTTTCTCCAGCACCTGTGGCTCTGACAAAGTCCTGGATAACTGCGAGGACTCACCCTGGAGGGAAAGGTTTGGCGCTGCTGACACTGTGTTTTCTGCAGGACATCCTTCTAAGTAACTGAATGACAAGTGTGGCCTAGACCTGTCCTGTGAGTCTGAGTCCTTAGACCTAAGAAGATCCTCCGTTGTGTGTTGTAGAGACACAGAAGTGGTGTCCAGGCATCTAAGGGGAAATGACTTTTAGCCCATCCCTGCTAAATGGGCAGTGAGGGAAGGTAGTCATCAGAACAGGAGGCATAGATGGAGTCTGTTGTGTGGTGGACACACAGAAAGTTGAACTTAGTTCTGAAACTAAAATTGAACTCAGTTCTAAAAATAAGACAAGCCCGGGCATGGTGGCTCATGCCTGTAATCTCAGCGCTTTGGGAGGCTGAGGTGGGCAGATTACTTCAGGCCAGGAGTTCAAAACCAACCTGGCCAACATGGTGAAACCCTATCTCTACTAAAAATGCAAAAATTAGTCGGGAGTGGTGGTACTTGACTGTAATCCTGGCTACCTGGGAGGCTGAGGCAGGAGAATCGCTTGGACCTGGGAAGCAGAGGTTGCAGTGGGGCGATCTCGCTCACTGCACTCCAGCCTGGGTGACAGAAAGACTTGTCTCTAAATAAATAAATTCATAAATAAACTAAGGCAAAAATCAAGCCTTTCTGAGACATTCATGCCCCTCTCCTAGCACCAGTCATGCAGGTTTGACCCAAAGCACCCCCTGGAGGGCACACTCACCTTCACTTGATAGCCTTGAGTTACCAGGAAGTTTGAGCTTCTGATTTTTCCGTGGAGTTCAGGTTCTTCTGAATGGTGTAGCCTGACACAGCCAAAGGCAGGGAGCATTAGTGACCTTTGCCCAAACTTTCTTGGGGGGACTGACAATCATGACTGGGCTAATGAGGCTGAACAGTACCATGGGTGCCTGTCCACGGAGAGACGTGAAAAACTGGGATGCAGAGGCAAGGTTTGAGAATCGCAAGCCGCGAGTATAGAGCAGAGATGAGATTCATAGCACAAGGGGGCATGACAGCCCTTGTGAAGTGCGTGCAGTCTGGCATCAGGGGTGCCTTTAGGTAGAGAAGGACAAAGGTGCCTCTGTGTTGCTTTGCCTGGGAAGTACTGGGCAGATCCGAGTGCTCAGAGGCATGGCTGGGTGGCTGGACCTTGCTGGGATCCTTCAGGTCAAAACAGAATGTGGAGCTGGGGTCCCGCTGACTTCCAGACAAGGGTTTTGGTTTCACAAAGCCCCTGGGTCCCAGGTTGGGTTGTGGTCATGGTGTCTGCCTGAGCTCAGATTCTCCCAGAAGCAGATCATGAGCCATGGTTTGCATACGAGGGATTGTATCAAGAAGATGCTCCCTTGGCCAGGCACTGTGGCTCATGCCTGTAATCCCACACTTTGGGAGACCAAGGTGGATGGATCACTTGAGGTCAGGAGTTTGAGACCAGCCTGGCCAACATGGTGAAACCCCATCTCTACTATTAATAAAACTACAAAACATTAGCTGGGCGTGGCGGCATGCGCCTGTAATCCCAGCTACTCGGGAGGCTGAGGCAGGATAATTGCTTGCACCCAGGAGCTGGAGGTTGCAGTGAGCCGAGATCATGCCACTGCACTCCAGCCTGGGCGACAAAGTGAGACTCTGTCCCAAAAAGAAACTCCCAAAGTCCCCCAAACAAACGAAAAGAAGGTGCTCCCAGGAGAAACAGTGAGGGAGTAGAGGAAGCAGGATGGGGAAAGAGAATAAATCAAGCAAGAGGTTGATTTCAGGTGAAATCCCAGGCTCAGGTGGTCTCATGGAGACCTGTGGGCACAATTACAACTCAGAGCATGTCCCATAGGAGGCAAAGGAACTGGACTTTTGCATTCACATCAGTCAGTAGTTATGGACTGTGTTGGGGAGGCCAGGGACAGATGGATATAAAACTCGTGAGCACTTTCAGCTGTCTATAAGGGTGAAAGGGCTCCAGTGCCCACAGGCAATCCTCTGAAGATTACAGCTGTTAACTTTTAGTAGCAAAGCGTGTCGAGAGGGGAATGGGTATATAGAGCTAGTAAAAAGGATCAGAGGTCATTTGGAGGGGATATTAAGAGTGTCCCCTACAACATCCTAAAATGTTTCTCGTTAAACTCACTAGTTTAGGGAGTTGAGAAGAAACAAACTTGATAATTTCAAATTAATAGCTAAGACAGTGTTTCCAAAAGTATGGGATAAGGTGGTATGCAAGATTATATAAAGGGAAAATTACTCTCCTTTCAATTTGCTCCAATCTTTTGATTACATCAAGGAGAAAGTTGGGGTTTGGTGTTTTTTGTTTGTTTGTTTGTTTGAGACAGTCTTACTCTGTTGCTGGACTGGAGTGCAGTGGCATGATCTCGGCTCACTGCAACCTCTGTCTCCCAGGTTCAAGTGATTCTCCTGCCTCAGCCTCCTGAGTAGTTGGGACTACAGGCACCTGCTACCATGCCCAGCTAATTTTTGTATTTTTAGTAGAGACAAGGTTTCACCACATTGGGCAGGATCGTCTTGATCTCCTGACCTTGTGATCTACCCGCCTCAGCCTCCCAAAGTGCTAGGATTACAGGCGTGAGCTACTGCGCCCGGCCTTGGTGTTGGGTATCCTTAACACTTGTCTAACTCTGCCAGTATCTCCACTGTACAAAGAGAATGTGGGTTGGACCACAGAACTTCTGGCAGGCAGCCTCATCCAGCCAGAATTTAATTACATTGTTTTGGTTTCATTTGTGGTTACCTATTTTTGGCAAGTGATATGGTTCTCAATTTATGGCAGTAATAGAAAGTGTCCTTTTTAAAAACTTTATTTCAATTTTTTTTTTTTTTTTTTTTTTGAGATGGAGTCTTGCTTTGTCGCCCAGGCTAGAGTGCAGGGGTATATTAGTTCACTGAAACCTCCTCCTCCTGGGTTCAAGTGATTCTTGTGCTTCAAACTTCCTGAGTAGCTGGGATTACAGGCCTGTGGCACCATGCTGGGCTAATTTCTGTGTTTTTAGTAGAAACGGGGTTTCACCATGTTGGCCAGGCTGGTCTCGAACTCCTGACCTCAAGTGATCCACCCGCCTCTGCCTCTCAAAGTGCTGGGATTACCGGCATGAGCCACCGCGCCTGGCCTTTATTCAGATTTTTTAAAAGTGAGTCAATGTAATGAAAAATGTTAAGTAAATAACAGTAGTAGTAGTATAGTTAAAACCCTGCAGGTGGTTTGTGAGGGACTAACCTTTGGGGACCCTTGGGATTAAGAATCCATAGATTCCGCCGGTGAGAATAGGTAGAGTTGCCAAATAAAACACAAGACACTCCATTAAATTTGAGTTTCTGATAAGCAATTAACATACATATTCATGTACTAATATATATATATATACCCACAAATTGTATATGATATACTTGTACTAAAAAGAAATGTGACCGGGCGTGCAGCTCCAGCACTTTGGGAGGCCGAGGCAGGCAGATCACAAGGTCATGAGATCGAGACCATCCTGGCTAACACGGTGAAAACCCATCTCTACTAAAAATACAAAAAAATTAGCCAGGCGCGGTGGCTATTTTGTAGCCTGTAGTCCCAGCTGCTGAGGAGGCTGAGGCAGGAGAACGTAATGAACCCGGGAGGCGGAGCTTGCAGTAAGCCAAGATTGCACCACTGCACTCCAGCCTGGGCAACAAAGCGAGACTCCGTCTCAAAAAAAAAAAAAAAGAAAGAAAAAGAAACGTGTATCCAAAATTTGGGACTGGGTGCAGTGACTCATGCCTGTAATCCCAGCACTTTGGAAAGCTGAGGCAGGAGGATTGCTTGAGCCCAGTAGTTCAAGACCAGCCTAGGCAGCATGGCAAAATCTTGTCTCTACAAAAAATATTTTTTAAAAAAATTGGCTGAGTGTAACGGTGTGCGCCTATAGTCCCAGCTACTCAGGAGGCTAAGGTGGGAGAATCCCTGAGCTCGGGAGGCTGAGTGAGCTATGATCACATCGCTGCACTCCAGCCTGGGCAAGAGAGTGAGACCCTGTCTCAAAACATAAAATAAAATAAAATAAAATTTGATATTTTTGATATTTAGTATAAGTATATACCATGCAATATTCAGGATGCACTTACACTAAAAAATGATTCATTACTTTCCTAACATTCAAATGTAACTGGATATGTTTACTTTTATGCTAAATCTGTCCACTCCAAAATTAGGGCTTATCCAACTCTATAAGTGCAGTGTGTACATCAAATTCAACCGTCAGTTCTGGGAGCTAATGTTCCCTGGGTTAAACCTCCTTCCTCCCTCCTATCTGTAATCAAAGTAAATAGCAAAACAGTGTATGGGAGGGAGACTGTCTGGGGCTTCCGGCCTGTTCTCTCACCATCTCTGAGAGTATCAGAAGTGTGGACAGACCCGTCCAACCCTTAGTGGTGCCTTTTCACCCTGTCGTACCAGTACAGGCCTTGGGCTGCCCCCAGGACTAGGACGATGCGCTTGCTGAGTGTGAGGTCTTCTTCCCTATCCAACAGCTCTCTCAGGGTCCCAAGTTCACAGTACTCCATGACGATGGAGAATTGAGGTGGAGTCACTGGTGGAAAGAAGCCAGGCACTATGAGGACCTGCCCTACTCGAAGCTTCCCCTGTCCTTAGCCCACCTCTCCCAGCCTCAGTACAGATATAGACTTGCTCTGCTGTGAGTCCCATTTCTCCCCCAATTCTCAGCCCACAATTTTGCTCCCCAGCCTCCTTGAACAGACCAAATATGCCCAGAATTCCCATCCTCTTCTCCATAATACTTGGCTTCTTGAAATTCTACCTTAAAAAAAAAAAATTGGCTGGGTGTGGTGGCTCACGCCTGTAATCACAGCACTTTGGGAAACCGAGGTCAGGAGTTTGAGATCAGCCTGGCCTACATGGTGAAACCCTGTCTCTACTAAAAATACAAAAAGTAGCTGGGATTACAGGCACCTGCCACCACACCCAGCTACTTTTTGTATTTTTA